TGGTAACCGCGCACTGGGGTTTTTTCTCTGGCACTTTTTACTTAAACTGCGTCTGACGAAGGAATTAGTTTTTCTGAACTCTTTAAAACAGCTGAAACGGTAAAAACGGACAATATAGTGTAATTGATAGTGTAGTATGCAACTATAATGTTTTGTTTGTTGAACTGTTGTATAAATCAATATTACATATTAATACAATATTACATTACTGAAAGCCCTTCACTCAAAAGTATTTAGAAGTCAGTATGACTTTGACTTTCTTTTTCTTCAGAGCTGGTGGCTGCACTGAGACTACGGAGCAACCTGTCCTGTGAATCATATGAACTGGATCTGCAAGTACTGCACATTTTCTTCTGCCAACCAACGCAGCATTATAAGGCATTACAAGCTAAAACACGGACACTTTAATAGATCTTGTCCCTTACCTTGCATCTACAATGACTGTTTGTGCTCCTTTAAGACACAAGTTGCTCTTAAAAACCATTTGTTGAAACATGAAACATCAGTGGTTCATCAATCTCAGCCAAATGATGCACATGAATCTCAGTCCAGTGTAGTTACTCATCGGCTACAGTGTGAATTATGTGATTTTTCTGAGCCATGCACTATTAAGCAGTACTTTGCTTATTTGGGAGCTCATTTGAAGAGTAAGGAAACTGTTAATTGTCCTTTTGTGCAGTGTCAATTTAAGTCTAGTGTGTATTCCACCTTTACTGGGCACAAATGTAGATATCACGGTAATTCTGGTTTAAACAATATAAAATCTGAACTTATTTGTGATCACAGTCCAGCAGAAACCAGTGAGGAACAAATAGGAGATGTGGTTTCAGTAGATTATGATAACCCCCCAAATGATGACGATGACAGTGAAGATTATGGAGAATCAGTTAGTCATAGACTTGCATCCTTATTGCTACGTATGCAAACCATTTTGCACGTGTCCAAGTCAGCAACACAAGAAATAGTTAATGAACTGTATGAGATAGGTGTTTTAGCAGGAGAGTTTACCAATAGGTCAATTGAGGAAGTGCTAAGGGAACATAATTGCAACACTGACAGCACTGTTTTAACTGTGGTAAAGAAAACACTGCAGGAAACTAATCCACTTTGTTTACTTTCAAAGACTGGACCATTTGGCACTGACCATAGGAGGTCCCTGTTTTTCAGAAATAATTTTCCTGTCATTGAGCCTGTAGAATATATTTTGGATAATACTACCAGGAAGAAGACATTTGTATATGTCCCTATATTAAGTATTTTAACAGAGTTACTTAACAGAAATGAGATTCTAGACAAAGTTCTAACTGAAGAATCTCTTGCATCGCAATCTGGTCATTTTAAAACTTTTCGTGACAGCACATTCTTTAAAGAAAACCCACTACTCTCCAGACAGGAACTGCCAATTGCTATTGCATTGTACATAGATGACTTTGAAACATGCAATCCTTTAGGTACTTCTAGAAAAAAAATAAAGGTATGTGCTATCTATTGGGTATTAGCAAATTTGCCTATAAAATATAGATCATCTTTGCAATCTATATATCTTGCAGTGCTGTGCAACAGTAATGATATCAAAACATTTGGCTACGAGAAAATTCTTGAGCCACTTATGAAAGACCTACAGATACTTGAAAACCAAGGTCTGTTCATCCAGAGATTAGGAGCAAGCATCAAAGGAACCGTGCTTTTTGTCTCTGCTGATAATTTAGCTGCTCATTCACTTGCTGGCTTTCAGGAATCATTCACTGTTGACAAATTTTGCAGATTTTGTTTAGCAAGCCGTAGAGATATTCAGACAACTGAAGTAAGAGGTGTGATATTTCCGCTTAGGACTAAATTAACTCATGAGGCAGATGTTTTGGAGGTTAAACAAAATGAACATGTACAGAATGTAAATGGTGTCAAACGTAATTGTGTTTTGAACAACTTGACTTACTTCAATACAGTTACAGGGTTCCCACCTGACTTTCTGCATGACCTCTTGGAGGGAATTGTACCTTTTGAACTTAGCTTGTGTCTTAAAAAATGTATCTCAGATAAGTACTTTACATTGGATGAATTAAATTCTGCTATTCAGAATTTCCCGTACTTATTCTCTGATAAGACTAACCGCCCCTACAGAATTCCCCCAAGTTTCAGAATCAATGGTACAATCGGTGGAAACGGTCATGAGAACTGGACTTTGTTAAGACTTCTTCCACTGATGATTGGTGAACTAATCCCAGAAAATGACATAACATGGGGTGTTATTCTTAAATTAAAAGACCTAGTAGAACTTTTGGCAACACCATCTTTTACCAATCAGTCACTATGCTATTTGGAAGAAAACATCTCAATCCATAGGCAGTTGCTCCAGGAGGCCTTTCCAGACTGTAAACTAAGGCCAAAACACCATTTCATCGAACACTATCCCTACCTCATCAGGTGCTTTGGACCTTTGCTGGACTGTTGGACAATTCGTTTTGAAGCCAAACATAGCTTTTTTTAAAAAGTTGTGCGTGATGTGAACAATTTTAAAAACATTTTGTTAACATTAGCCACAAGACACCAGCATATGTTAGCTTACTTCCTTGACATGCCCAGTCTTTTTAAGCCACCAGTGGAGGTTAGCAGAGTTTCTCTGGACATTTTGGATGACTCTTTCAAAAAGGCTATCAGACACAAATACAAGGATGTTAAGACCGTGTCTCTTGCAACTAGTGTGATTCAACATGGCACTAAATACTCTGAGGGGATGTTTGTTTCTGTTGGGAGCACAAGCGGACTACCTGATTTTGGCAAAATTCTCAAAGTACTGATTGTGGGCAACAAGGCATCATTCATCATTGAATGCTTTTCAGCCTGGTACTTGGAGCATTTCAGATGCTATGAATTGACAAGGAAACTTTCCACAGATCTTCAAGTTGCAGACCCAGAAGAACTGAATTCCTTCCACCCAATGGCTCCTTACATGGTGCGAGGAAAACTAATGGTGTCACCCAAGGTGTTTTTACTTCACTGAGGTAAGTCTTTTTATTGTAAACATCGCGCATGATTTGATTAATCAATGAATGTCAAGCCTTTTTAAGAATTTCTCATTTTAAATTTGTTCAACTGTTAAAATGATACTTTGCATTTTCAAATTGAAAGGATAACAAAGGTTTATTACACATTGGGTCTTATTTTAGAGTTTTGGCCACTTTTGACATGACATGGATGTTCCCAGAACTCAACAGTTAACTTGATGACTAGAATTTTATCTTACTGAAAAAGTTTGCCAAAATAGGGCCCTTACCAAAACTGGCATTAAACTAAATTATTTAGTTAAATCTTTTAGTTAAATTTTCTAGTTAAAACAGAATTTAACCCCAGTAGTACTCCTCTTCTGTTAAGCTTCCAGCATGCCGCTTCACGTCATTCTTGCGGACGACGACATCCGTAGAGTCCAGATTGAAAGTCTTCCAGAGACGGTGGATGAATTGAAGACTACACTCAAGAGCAAGCTCGATCTAGAGGGTGATATTGTTATCCAGTTTCAAGATCCAGAGTTCAACAATGAACTTTGCAACTTGACTGAAATGTCTGAACTTCCCACAGAGAGAACAAGGCTGAAGGTAATACTAAAGGTACCACTCAACATGCCCCCCTCTGTATCCTCCTTGGACAGCAGTTGTTCTGACACGGCCATTGGGACCTCCCCATGTTCTCTTTGAAACTCTCGCTCTAAGCAGTGGCCTGACCCTTTTATCATACCAACTTTCTCTTATGACATTGAACTTAAGCTCCGAAAAGGAAATGAGACTTTTGAAAAAGATGGGTCCCTACTTCCTGTTAATGCTGCAATGAAGAGAGACATACTTGACAAAGTAGGGAGTGCTATGTATGAGCACAATGCATATCCAACATCAAAACAAATTGAGGATGTTGCCAAAGCCCTTACTGAAAAGCATCCCTGTTTGAGAGAGCCTCAAACAAGTTCTTCACATGGGTGGTACTGCTGGAAGTTCAGCCTCACTTTTAACCCTTTAGGCGCCAGAGGTTTTTTCCTAAAACGTTCGATTTTGACATCTCAATTTCAAAAGGCTATATCTTAAAAGTGATAAAAGATAGAGACTTTCTGTAAATTAGAGAAATACTAAGGATGACCCAAAGTTTATGTAGGGATTACATTTTTCCATCTAATTTGCATATTATGACGTCATATGGTGGCGGCAATCTTGGATTATAGAATTTTCATGAAAAGTCACATGTTTTAATGATAAAATGCAGCACTTCTTTCCCCCCAAAATGTCCATCACCTTCTGTATGTTATATTGCACAATACTGAATGCTCAGGTATATAGTAAGTAGTAAACAAATTGTGTAAATTATTACTAATAAATGGTAGAAACAAACCGAATGCATGTAGTGGTTGCCTTTTGCTGTAGAGAATTTCCATTTACTAAATACAGTAGACACTCTGATTCCATGTATGGGGCACATATATATATTATTCATATGACATACAAACACAAGTAGACAAGACCTGTTTAGTGCAAACGCTCACGCGCACAGATCATGAGTGAGATGATACGAGCAGCGCGGCCAGATCTGACTCGCGCGCGCCGAGTGTGCACAGCTCGGACTACTGTCATTGTCATTGCGACTCCCCACCCTGCCTCCACGTTGTCTCCTAACTGTCCTATGGATACTTCGACCTCGTCTAACATACCCAGTGGCATTTGACAAAGTCTCCACCACAATACTGTCGCCGCGATTGCGGAGAGGATCTGATAACATGGCTCACTCGCACACTAGCTCCGCTTTTGATCTCACTGATTCAATGCGCTCTAACTCGAACATTTTGTATAGAAACATGACGTTTTTTTGATTCGGGGATGAAGTATGACATGTCTGCCATCCAGTGGAGGGGAGGTCGAACGAAATTTGACACCCAATTTGACAAAATCGGCCGTTTTATTCAGTGCCTCATCTTGTCGAGTAAACTCGACCGTGGCGCCTAGAGGGTTAAGATGGGTAACCTCCGTCAGAAGTACCGTATTGCTGGATGCCCAGAGCTTACAGTCAATCAAAAAAGGTCAACAGACACATCAACTGGGAACATGACAATGAACAAACCAAAACGTTCTGAGCTCAACTTTTTGCCAGATTTTCCTGAAGGGAAGTCTCCAGACTGCCTTGAAAGAGACAGAATAGCTCTGACGGAGGAGATGACGAAAAGGAAGAGTGGCGGGAAAATGATAGATTCTCTGATGGCGAGCACGTTTGCCTTCCGAAGGAAGGAGATTGTTCATGATGAGCCTCCTGTGTCTGAAATCAAAGACAGATGGCCAGCACTGTTTTCAAAAAAACAGGTAATTTTGTATTTTTACAAATATGAAGCTTTGGAGTCATTCAAATTTTAGATTTGAGTTTTGGTTCAATATCAGTGGTTTATGCATTTGTTGATTTAGGGATTTGTTTTTCGTTTTTAGTTGAGTTTTTCCCTGGTGCAACTTTTTATTTGAATGGCCTATAACAGCCAAAGCCGAACCAATGCTAACCTCTTTCTCAACTTACTGTGTTATGTACTGACTTTTTCGTTGGATTTTCTCTTAATAGATTAGTGCTGAGTTTATGCGCCTGGTTTCTACTGATCTCCACCAGTCTTTCTTTGATGGACTCGACAAGTATGTCCCAAGACTGTTACAGATGTACAGAGTGCGAACTAGTAGCAGTTCTGACCTGCGCAGTCTCCTTGAGCCCCTTGATGTACAAGTAAGGATAATCTGATTTCCCCAATCCTTGATCAGTCCCTTAACAAAAAAATAACATTGTAGAATAGTCAATCAGTCTCAAACCTAATGTAATCAAAAGCTGTTACTGTCATTAGCTTATTTGCAGTTCAGTTTAGGGTTTACTGGGTTTAAGGGAAAAACCCCCTCAAATAGTCTCTAAATGACATTAAAAGGACACTTCAATTTTTCCGGAAAATGTACTAGACAACAGTGATAATGTGTATGAAATACACAGAATTCTGTGTTAGAAAAATCAAAAACTTTTGGGCACCACACATTCCATTTATTCAGTATGCAAGCATGGTGTAGTTGGCTTTCAGTTAGCACAAAAAAAAAGTGGGAACAAAAAAAATTGAATTAATAAAACCATCACAAAGTTTTGTGATGGTAAGTGACACATCAGCAGCATGCTTGGTCCTACAGTTGTCACAGTTTGTCTAACCTTCTTGTTTTTGTTGTGTGTTGAGACTTCAAACCAGAAGAGAAGAGCAGCTGCATTGCTCGGACTTCCATATTACCTAAAGGAGGATCCCAACAGTTTAATCCGTGTTTGTGAGGTGCGTGAGTTGATATGACATGGGTAACTGTTGTCACAGTAAAAAAACATTTATTAAAGGGATAGTTCGGCCAAAAATGATATTTAACACATGCATTACTCACACTCAAGCCGTTCGAGATGCATATGTCAATCTTTTGACATATGCACATTTTCAGTGATTTTAGAAAATGTCTTAGACCCTTCAGTGGATATAATGTGAAGCAATGGGGTCCACCTCCTTCAAGTCCCAAAATGTGCATACATCCTTCACAAAAGTAATCCATCCGGCTCCAGGGGGATAAACGAAGGCCTTCTGAGGGTAATCCGTGCGGTTTTGACGTAAAAATATACATATTTAAAACTTTCTAAAATAACTGAAAATGTGTTCGTCTGAAACAAGATTGACATATTGTGATATAGATGGCCCATATGTGTGACATTTCACTCGCTATAATATCATTATAATATGAAACAAATAAGATGATCAGAATAAAAAAGAAATATCTGGGGTATGAAATGTACAACAAATGAAAAGAATGATCAATGTATGAACTATGTATGACTTGTTTGAGGAAAGAACCTTTGACCCACAAACCTGCCGTTATCATGCACAGGATGCACAGACCCCCACCCTGCCTGAGGCAGTTTCCAAGAACCAGATGCACTGTTTATGTTATCTCACCTCCTATATACTGAGAATTAGGGTGTGCTGTCGCTAGCTAAATGTATCCTGCTGACGTATATGATTGCTGTTATCTGCGGAAAGTGACTGCTGTTATCTGCGGAAAGTGCTTGCTGTTAGCTGCGGAGAGTGCTTGCTGTTAGCTGCGTAAAGTATTTGCTGTTATCTACGGAAAGGAATTTCCAATAGCTACCACCAGTACCGGTGGAAACCTGACTATAAAAGAAGGAGAGTCAGATGGACTCTTGGCTCGTCCTTGCAAACACCACTCTGATACGCCAGCTTTTATCAGAGGCAAGAAGCTTCAAGCCTAGCTAGTATCTATCTGTTAGTTAGTACTCATTTTGATCTGTAACAAGTGTTTCTTTTTCATTTGATTATTTTAATAAATTCTGTTACATTTATTATAATCATCTGACTGGACCTGGATCATTGAGCGCTGTTCACTTTCCTTCAACTGAATCAAGAAGATTCTTTCTGGGGAGAACCAACAACAAGGGGTGAGAATTCTTTTGAGATAAGAATAATTCACTGTTGAATTTGATTGATCAAACAGCCTAGCCAAAGAGGCAGCATATAACATGTAAACATATAGAGTGATATGTGTACTACAAACTGTTATAGTGCGAACACGGTTGAAGAGTACCACAAAAGGTAGACTTATAATATAGAAGGGAAATCTATTATCTCTATAATAGAATACGAATTTATATAGACTGATCACCTAACTCTTGAGGGCACGACTAAAGGATAGGCTCTTTAGTTACCGCGGGATTATACTGATGTCCTGAACGGATGTCTTATAATTCGGAACGGTATTAATCGTGAAAATCCATCGGATGGGGGCTCGTCCGTCTATTTAATAGACCCGGAGCAAAAGGCGAATTTAGATCAATCAAAAACTGGATGACCTAGATAGACTCGCTGAACAATAGGGGACGCCCTATTAAGAAAAAAGCGAGAGAAACCGCGCGGCAGAACCAAGAGTATCTGACTAAAACTGATAAGAATCCCTTACGAAAAGGGTCTTATGATTTCCTTAAGAGAAGGAAATAAGTGTTTTCCTTAGCCTGCATTTCCAACTGAAATGACTCAAATGGCTCAGGTGCCACCAAACTTAAGTGCAACTCCTGTCCCTCAGCCGGCGATCGTCTACCAAATTGTCGTAACTAAACGTGATAATTTTCATAGACAGAAAACTGCCAAAGACGGAGAGGCAGGATGGAATATAGGAGATAACGAAATAAATAATGGCCAAGAGTTTATCTGTAATGCAGCAGCAGATGTAAGGGCCATCATAGAACGCATAAACAACAATAGAGCGCCTGGGGATAAAATCAAAGTACATTTTGATACAGGAATGGATGTAACATACAATCCAACTGTTGATGCTAGTATAGAAGTATACTATGGTAGAACAAGAGTAATGTACGATGGTACAGCTCTTCCCCAGAGAAGGCGCCGAGATTCTCAGAACACGGAAATTAATTTTTCCGATGGAGAAAGACCAGGCCCTAGTACCCAGAGAAGATCAGATTTTCAGGGTGAGAGCCTAGGGTCCACTTACGAAAGAATGATGCATGAATTGTTCCAGGCTGTTGGCAGTGTAGGCAGAGAAGCTCCAGTAGTAAGCACAGGAGGAAATGAGCCCAGACAGGGTGAAGAAAATGAATGGGAAGGAGAAGCAAGTGATGAAAATTTTTGGGACGAACCGATACCACAAAGGAATAGGGTTAATCACAAAAGGGCACGGCCTTTATCTCAAGAAAGAAAGAGCAGTAGTCATGCTAGAGAGCACATAGATCTGGCAGGAAGAAAAACCCTAACCAGACCAGGACATAGACTACAAAAAATAATTTCAAACAGGGAACCTGAATATCTGCAGAAAATGTTACTAGCAGCAACAGGGCCTACTGCTGATGAAATTCTAGACATGCCTAATACCAGTACAAAGGCCAAACAAGATATGCTAGCAGAACAGAAAGATTCCTGTCAAAAGGCCCTATCGTTATTACTTCGAATGAATCTTCCTGAATATAAAAATCGGAGAGGAAGGGATCCTATTATGCAGGATGTTTTTGAACTACGTAAAGAAGTACTGATAGATTCAAATAAACCGATATATAATAGGAGAACGCCAGCAGAGACTTTACCAGTAAATGAGGAAGATGGGGAAGACGAAATACAGTATGACGAGGTAGATGAGGATCAAGGGCCTAGAGGGGGTCTGGGCATAGACTTAGCCAGATTAGCAGCTTGCTCCCTGAAGCAGAAGAAATTGACAGGAAGCACCCCAAGGGCCAGAGGCCAATACAGGGAACCAGAAGTATCCCAGGTAGAGTCAGACACAAGTGGGTCTAGCTCCTCAGATGAAGAGATATACCAAAGCCCTGTGAGAAGAACTAGGGCGAGAACTAAGCATACGATAACCGCTACTGAAATTGGCATGTTCAATGGGATGAAACTTGATCATAAAGATAACATGAAAAGCTGCCAAAAGATAGTGGAGCTGGGTCAGAGGCTAAATATCCACGATGAGGATATAGAGCTTATGATTAACCAACTGGTAGGGTTAGATTTAAAAATTGACGATATTTCTCTTCACCAGAAAAACATTTCTGGAACTACTGCAAAAGAAAAGTATGAGAAAGGGCTAAAAGAGATAAAAAGCACTGGGGTCCTAATTTTCTGCAAAAATAGAGCCCATAAAGGCAAAAATCCAGTACAAACTGTGAAAGAATTACTGAAGTTTGAAAAAGACCTACCAGGTCTGACCCCTTTGAAAACGTGGGGAAAAGAGACTGATTGGGATGAATTGCAAACATTTGCAGTCAGATATGACAGACGGTCCAAACAGGAAGCCGAGAAAAAGAGTGATCAGGGTTTCAATAAATTGACAAATACCAGACAGCAAGGTCTTAGAAAGTCAGATAGACTAAAAAACGTGCAGGGCCGTAATGTCCCACAGGGGCCTAGATACGTTGATAAGCCAAAAAATCCCAGGGAACACAGGGGACCAATTAGAACGGATAGCTATCAGCAGAGGGGTAGGTCACAAAGCCGGGGCAGGCCAGGTAAATCTAGTCTGGCACAAAAAACATCACTTAGCAAAACTGGATCAAAACCAAATGGCTCATCATATGTCCCGAGGGAAGAATGGGATAAGATGACCCCGGAGCAACAGGGCAGACTAAGGGAGAAAAGGGCTAGAGAGAGGCCAGCTGTAAAGAGCTCATACAATAATGACCAGGCTAAAACAAAATCAGTGAGAACAAATGAGTTGCATCGAAAACAAGAATAGGAAACCCCTAGAGGAAAAGCAACTATCCAATCTGACCTAATTAAAGAAATAGACGGCTTCTTTTACATAGATTACAAGGATAAAACGTTTATGCTGGATACAGGAGCCGAAATAACTTGTACTAACGATTTGCCAGCAGGTGCAGAGAAACAAAGTGGCATGATGAGAGTATACGGCTTCAGTAAAAACCAAAGTCCAGTTTGTTCGGACTGGTATTTATGGGAAGGCATAGCCATTATTCCTAATCAGTCAGAGAATTTAATGACGCTAAAAGACGCCTGTACCATAGTAAAAGAAAGCAATGAAGAAGTCTCAGTCAGATGGATGAAAATAGTTGACCTCAGGGGTGAAATTGACAGAATGGTAAAAGACACTATTCTGGACAAAAAGAAAGTAAAGGAAATTTTGGAAAAACATAAAAAAGGGGCCGCAAAATTCAAAAATGATGTGGGCCTATTAAAACAGGAATATGAGTATGAAATAAAAGGTGGAATACATAAGCCACAAAGACAGTACCCAATTAATAAAAGGGCGTTGGCGGAAATCGAAGAGACGATCAAAGAATTAGAACAGTTGGGGGTAATTAAAGAAATAGACAATGCGGTCACGAACTCCCCAATACAAGCTGTCCCGAAACCAGATAATAGTTTTCGTCTAGTTACGAACTTTAAATCTTTGAACAGTGACTGAACCAGACACTAGATATCTAATAAACGCAAAAGACGTCACTAATGGTCTACCTAAGGGAGAGATACTGACGAAAATAGATTTAGCCAACGGTTTCTGGTCAGTCCCATTAAAGGAAGAAAGTAGGGCTAGAACAGCATTTACTTTCAAAACTAAGCATTATTGCTATACTCGACTCCCTCAGGGTTTTATGAACTCGCCGAACGCGTTTCAGGCTATTGTGGTTAGATTAATGGAAGGCCTACCAGTGACTGTGTATATTGATGATTTAATTATCATCAACAATGACCCGGAAGAACACCTGACAATTGTAGATGAAGTCTTGACTAGGCTAATAAACGCGGGTTTTAAGCCTAGTTATAAGAAGATCGAAATTGGGAAAAAGGAAGTAGATTTTCTAGGCTTTGCTACAACAGGAATAGATAGAGGACTTTCAAAAACCACAAGGGAAAAATTGGAGGATTTGAGACAGAATAGTCCAAAGAGCTTGAAAGGATTGCAGAGTTTTATGGGCCACATGAATTTTATCAGGGATCTGATACCAGGTTATGCAAAACTAGCTAAACCACTTTATGGGGCCACGAAAGGAAACGAACTTAAATGGAATGACAAGCTCGAACAAACCAGATTAGAGCTAATTGATTTATCCTTGGCCTCAGGAAAAATAGCAAGAAGGGAACCTGACCAGAAATTAGTAGTGAGTATAGAAAATACTAAAGATGAAATGGAACTGGTACTGTATAACGAGAAAGATAGAAAAAATCCAATTCAGTTCATGTCATACCCAAAGCCTGCTAACCAAACAAAACAAGAACCAAAGTCAGCGACTGACATTCTGGCCAGTATTGCAAAATGCTTGATACCAATAAAGACTTTAGCCCTAGATCAACAGATAATTGTGGAATCCAAAGGGGACGGAATAACTCAGCTAGCAAGAGAATCAAAAAATCTAGTGAGTGAAGCGCCCAAAGTTCACCAATTTACATGGGCAAAATGGAGCAAACTTTTGCACGACACGCAAATAGTTTTCGGACAGAGTAAGGTCAATAAAAAGGATAAAATAACAGAAATCCCGAAAGGAACCAGTATTTGTTATTTCACAGATGGCTCCAAAGAAGATGATGAAACTTGGTGGGGTTTCATTAGGAAAGAAAAAGGTAAAATTGTCTTTAAACAAAAAGGTCAGTTGGCTAAAGACGAGTCAGCACAACTGGCGGAAGTCACTGCGGTTTTCAATGCATTGAAACATATGAAGGCAACAAGTGCCTTAACCGCAGTTCTAGTTACAGATAGTGACTACGTGTACAAAGCGCTAACAGAGTACGTCGATACGTGGAAACTTAACGGCTTCAGCACCGCAAAGGGCAAGCCGCTAAAACAAGACGTTCTTTGGAAAGATATCGCCGTGTTGTTAGAGGAAGTGAAACCAAAGGTGCTACATCAGAGTAGCCATACGGTTCAGACAACATCAGCTGCAAAAGGGAACTCTGAAGTTGATGAATATATTAGAGACAAGACAGTGCGAGTTTGTAAAATAATTAGAGCAATCACTAAAGAAAGCGAAAAAGATTTTGTCAGAACCTTGCATGAAGACTTAATGCATCCAAGCCTAAGTTACATGGCAAAGTATTGTAAGGCCACAGGGCTGCACATACAGAATCTGAAGACAACTCATCTGAAAGTCAGGAAGGAATGTCCAGAATGCAGAAAGGTAATGACAAGTAGAAACAATGATTATGGATCAATAAAAACAGAGAAAGAAAATGAAGAGATAAGTGCCGACTTCGCTGGCCCAATTAGGCAAAAAACGGCTCTAAAGAACTGTTACTTCTTAGTAATAGTGGATAACTGCTCTAACTTCCTGCAGATATATCCGTGCAAACAGGCTACTAGCTCAGTAGTAGTGCAATCACTGAATGAGTGGATAAAACACGAGAATACTTTGTGCGTAAAAAAATTAAAATATTGAATTTATTCAACAATATCTTCTCAGCGTCGGAGAGTGACACGAAAGAGAATTGTTGAATGAAGTCTTTATTTTGGGGGGGGGGGGGGGGGTTAGGGTTAGGGTTAGGGTTAGGGGGGGGGGGGGTTTGCGCATAAAGTATTCTCATGATGCTTCATAACATTAAGGTTGAACCACTGGAGTCACATGGACTATTTTAACAATGTCTTCACTGCCTTTCTGCGCCTTGAAAGTGGCAATAACGTTGCGTCGTTATGCATAGTATCTTAATTTGTGTTCCAACGAAGGTCTTAGGGGTTTGGAATGAAATGAGGGTGAGGACTTAATGACTGAATTTAAATTTTTGGGTGAAGTAACCCTTTCAAGTATATTGTAACAGTACATGCTTAATTACTAAATACATCATTATGTTCTTTAGACTACCAGTTCCGAAAAAGAGGCTACAAAAGAAGTTGACGTTGGCCTTCTCATCGTTACTAAGGAAGGCGGAAGCAGCCAAGCACTACTGGCAAAGCAGATAGTCGATATTGCAGTTGTGCTGGAAGAGAACATCATCATACGTGAGCTAGGAGATGTTGCAAATGCCTTTTCCTCACTTATGGGTCTTCTTTACTGTCTTGACATAGACTATCCTAAGGGACTGAAGTACACATTCGAGATGGTACAAAAAGTTTTCATGGGCATCGGCAGTGGCAATTGTTCTGCGAAAGTTCATGGACTCCGCAACAAGTTGGTTCAAGGCAAAGTGTAGTGGCAAGTTGGCCAAGTTAATAGCAGCAGTGTTCACTAAAGACTGCATCACACCACCATTTCCATATAAGTATAACATGGTTAGAAAACTAAACAAAAAAAGAGGCCTGTATAAGTTACAGATGAAAGTTTAATGCAGAGGTTCTAAAAATGTTAGTAGAATGACATTGTGTTCAGTTAATCTGCTCAGAGATAACCTGATACCAAAATGTTTGTGCAATTTAACTACAGCACATTTAAGCTAGTAAGCTTTTATATTTTACAAGTTCAAGGCAGATTTTTATATTTCTATATTTACTGTTCTTTTGTGTACTAGAGCTCGTTTGCTTATTTTTTTTAGATAAATGTTAATGTAACGTACTAGAGCTCGTTTGCATAATTTTTTTTAGATAAATGTTCATGTAACATGTTATGAAATGTCAATTTTCAGCTTGCAATTAACTAGAGCACTTTTAAGCCAGAATAAGCTTTTTTATTTCACAACTTAAAGGCTGTAAGATTTTATTTGTGACCCGATCTGGCGAAATGAGTCGGAAGTCGCAACGTTCTATTTTAAGATATGGGCCGATTATGTGGAAAAACAATGAAATAGATTATTTTTTTTGTGTGCTAATTTCAAAGAACAGACATTCAAAAATAATCTCCCAAAGTTTCGTAGTCCAGATAATTGAGTAAAGGTATTTAAATTACTGTTAAAGTTTACAAAGTTTTACTTAATTCGCTGGAAATGAACATTGCTTTTCTCAACTCCTCTCGTCACCTCTGAGCATTTCCCGGGTATCCCCTGAAACGTCACTATCTCTGCTCTTTAAATGGTGTTACACATTGTATAGAACCAATCAAAAAGCTTAGAAATGTACACAAATGCTGATCATTTGTCGATGGGAAGCCGTTTCGACTGACCGGCACGCGATTGGTCCAGCCACCCTCCTGTCAGACTCGCAGCGAGCGCTCTGTGTAATAAACAAGCTAGCAGATCTCCTCAGAAAGATTAAATATTATTAATTTGAGAAATGTCGCTGTCAAAAGCGAGCAAAGTTGCCAAAGCGTCATCAAGCCCCCTGGCCATTGCACACTGAGTCCGCGTTTTTTTCGTATGCGTTTTTTCTTATTGATTCGGTGGCTCCGAATTGTCAAAACACCATTCAAAGTTCAAACTGCTTGCTACGGATGCGAAAAACGTATGATTGTTTTTATATAACTGATGAAAGTTTCGTAGTGTGCACGCGTGATTGACATAACGTGATTGACAAATGTGAATGAGTGTAGCTATTTATCTGCAAGGAGAATCCATTACAATGTGTTTGATTAACCCAATATTTAACTGTTGATATCTCCGTTATGAATTTGTTACGCTGTTATTGTCAACTAGCCTACAATAAGATATGAATGCATAGACTAGCATTATTTGATCTGTTTCCTTGTCTCTCTGCCTCTCACCTTCTCTCTCTCACAGACACACACACAGACAGACAGACACACAAACCCTCTCTCTCAAGAAAAAATGTAGCCCCTCTGTTCAATCTTTCTGATTTTAGTACATGTTTGTAAAAGGTAGGCCTACTGTTAAATTATTTATTCAAATAAAAACTTTAAAATAATTTGAGCTGCAGCCTGGTTTAATAGCATTTAAATATTAATGTCTTTGGTCAAATTAAGCTGTAAAATAAATAGTTTATCCCTTTAAATGTAATGTATTTTTAAAGATATCAACAAAAAAACGGGCAAAAAACTTTAAAAGCGATTTTCTCAGGTTTTCAATTGGAAAAAGAGGGCAGACGACCATAATTCAAATGTGTACACTCACCGGCCACTTTATTAGGTACCCCATGCTAGTAACGGGTTGGACCCCCTTTTGCCTTCAGAACTGCCTCAATTCTTCGTGGCATAGATTCAACAAGGTGCTGGAAGCATTCCTCAGGGAGTTTGGTCCATATTGACATGATGGCATCACACAGTTGCCGCAGATTTGTCGGCTGCACATCCATGATGCAAATCTCCCGTTCCACCACATCCCAAAGATGCTCTATTGGGTTGAGATCTGGTGACTGTGGAGGCCATTTTAGTACAGTGAACTCATTGTCATGTTCAAGAAACCAATTTGAAATGATTAGAGCTTTGTGACATGGTGGAAGTAGCCATCAGAGGATGGGTACATGGTGGCCATAAAGGGATGGACATGGTCAGAAACAATGCTCAGGTAGGCCGTGGCATTTAAACGATGCCCAATTGGCACTAAGGGGCCTAAAGTGTGCCAGGAAAACATCCCCCACACCATTACACCACCACCACCAGCCTGCACAGTGGTAACAAGGCATGATGGTTCCATGTTCTCATTCTGTTTACGCCAAATTCTGACTCTAACATCTGAATGTCTCAACAGAAATCGAGACTCATCAGACCAGGCAACATTTTTCCAGTCTTCAACTGTTCAATTTTGGTGAGCTCTTGGAAATTGTAGCCTCTTTTTCCTATTTGTAGTGGAGATGAGTGGTACCCGGTGGAGTCTTCTGCTGTTGTAGCCCATCCGCCTCAAGGTTGTGCGTGTTGTGGCTTCACAAATGCTTTGCTGCATACCTCGGTTGTAACGAGTGGTTATTTCAGTCACTGTTGCCCTTCTATCAGCTCGAACCAGTCTGGCCATTCTCCTCTGACCTCTGGCATCAACAAGGCATTTCCGCCCACAGAACTGCCGCTCACTGGATGTTTTTTCTTTTTCGGACCATTCTCTGTAAACCCTAGAGATGGTTGTGCGTGAAAATCCCAGTAAATTAGCAGTTTCTGAAATACTCAGACCAGCCCTTCTGGCACCAACAATCATGCCACGTTCAAAGTCACTCAAATCACCTTTCTTCCCCATACTGATGCTCGGTTTGAACTGCAGGAGATTGTCTTGACCATGTCTACATGCCTAAATGCACTGAGTTGCCGCCATGTGATTGGCTGCTTAGAAATTAAGTGTTAACGAGCAGTTAGACAGGTGTACCTAATAAAGTGGCCGGTGAGTGTATATCTTTACAACCATTCAAGGTATGACTTTACCTAGGATATCAATTGAAAGCTTATGATCTCCTCTTTCCATTAATATCAAAATCTCAATTTTTAAATTTGGGTCACTGTGACTCATTTTGCTGGATCAGGTCACATTTACAGTTTTATGTACCAGAGTTTGCATAATTTTTTTAGATAAATGTTCATGTAACATGTTATGAAATGTCAATTTTCAGCTGTTTACTGTTACCAAAACGCTTGCAATTAACTACTGCACTTTTAAGCCATATAAGCTTTTATATTTCACAACTTCAAGGCTGTAAGATTTTATTTCTATATTTACAGTTTTATGTACCAGAGTTTACATACATTTTTTTAGATAAATGTTCATGTTAACAGAAACTATTAATATGAAATGTCAACGTTTAGCTATGTGTTTTAATGGTAAGGTGTTTTAACATGCAGTACATTAATACTAAGGATTTTGTATGCTTTGAAATCAAATAAAATAGCATTCTGCATGTTCTTCTTTGCCAATGAATAATTTTTATGTAAGGCAAGGCAAGTTTATTTATATAGCACATTTCATACACAATGGTAATTCAAAGTGCTTTACATAGAAGAAATTAAAATTAAAACTGTTTTCTAATGTAGTACTATTAGAAAACAAACTAAAGTTGTGTGGGCAAATTACGCAGTTCAGTCTGTTGAATGAATTTAACATTCCAACTAAAACGAACTATTCTTGAAAAAGTAACCTGGCTGCCTTAAAAAAAAATAAGTTAATTCAACTAAATGAATAGTTTAGCCAATTTTTTGATTGTTTGCACAACTAATAATTATAAATTGACTCAAGATGCTTTGTTTAAACAACTCAAGATAGCAGACAAGTTTGTTGGTGTCACTAATTTTATGTTGTCTTAACTGGGATTTAGGTTTACACAACGTTTAATGTCTTGTTGGAGTAACTAATAAACTAATTAATTAAACTTAAATTAAAGTTGATCAGACTATTTTGTCAGCTTCACCTTTGTTACCCCAACGATTAATTCTAGGTTTAAGGAACTCCAATATATGTACACACAACTGAAGTTTCTTAGCTTACTTAACACAACATTTTAAGGCAGCCAGGTTACAAATTATTTTAAGTTGAATGAACTTGTTCGTTTTTACAGTGTATGGTCATACTTCCTGGTTCTGATAAGAACTCGAGCTGCTGCGTTTTGGACCAGCTGTAATTTGTTTATTAAGCGTGCAGGGCAACCACCCAGTAGAGCATTACAATAATCAAGCCTTGAAGTCATGAACGAATTAACTAATTGTTCCGCATTCTTCAAAGAGAGCATATGATGTAATTTAGATATTTTAAGATGGAAAAATGCAGTTTTATAGATACAATTTCACGTGACTTTCAAATGAAAGATTGCTATCAAAGAGCACACCCAGGTTCCTAACCGACGACAAACACTTGACAGAGCAGCCATCAAGTGTTAGATAGTATTCTAGATAGTGTTGTCAAACGATTAAAATATTTAAATCGCATTAATGTCATAGTTAACTCGCGATTAATCGCACATTTTTATCTATTCTAAATGTCTCTTGATTTCTTTTTGTCCCATTATTGCTCATTTCAATGCTCTTATCAACATGGAAAAGTGGCTGGAAGCTATTATAAGTGTTACGTTCCCTGACCGTTCCCTGACATTCCCTGACCGAGATATTAATTTGCGGCGTCTAGATTTGCAAGCTATTGAGATGAAAGCTGTTCCGCGCTCCAGGTCTTCCTCCAGTTCTTCTGCCGCGTCCATTCCTGCTATACCTGTAACCTCGAATGTAGAGCAAAACGTTCAGGAATTTGATATCTGTAAATACATCAAGCTTGTGCCTCCCTTTCGCGAGTCCGAGGTTGATGCTTACTTTGTTGCATTCGAGCGCATTGCAGGTAAACTTAGGTGGCCAAGCGATATGTGGGCCTTGCTCATACAGTGCAGCTTGACCGGTAAGGCTCAAGAAATTTGCGCGTCGTTACCAATTGAAC